GGGAGGTACTAGCCAGAGGGGAGGTACTATCCAGAGGGGAGGTGCTGTCCAGAGGGGAGGTGATGTCCAGGGGGTAGGTGCTGTCCAGAGGGGAGGTGCTGTCCAGAGGGGAAGGTGCTGTCCAGAGGGGAGGTGCTATCCAGAGGGGAGGTGCTGTCCAGAGGGGAGGTGCTATCCAGAGGGGAGGTACTAGCCAGAGGGGAGGTGCTGTCCAGGGGGAAGGTGCTGTCCAGGGGGAAGGTGCTGTCCAGAGGGGAGGTGCTGGCCAGAGGGGAGGTGCTGTCCAGAGGGGAGGTGCTGTCCAGAGGGGAGGTGCTATTCAGGGGAGAGGTGCTGTCCAGAGGGGAGGTGCTGTCCAGAGGGGAGGTGCTGAAATGCTTTGCCACTGTCTGGAAGAAGTGAAAACGTTCCTGGGCAGCAAACTGCTCACCTTTCCTGAGCTGGAACAGCCACGTGGCTGGAAAAGCTTCACGTCCCGGGGACATGACAGCACACCTGAACATACCTCTGCAGGAGAGAGGAGGCGCAGCTCTGCACCTGCTGGAGGAGGTTCATTCAAGTGCAAACTGACAGTGTTAGCCAGAGATTTACAGTGAAGCTCTGTCTCACTTCTCCTCTCTGAGTTCAAACAAGATCACATCATGATCCTCAGTATTTGCAGTCACCGCAGTGCAAACATCGTTTGGGAGACGATTCCGTGAGTTCAGAGAGAAAAAAAAAAAGATCCTTCCCATGTTTTTATACATAGCAGACAGGTAAAAAACCACAACCTGATTAAAAACAAAAACTTTCTAAATATCAATGGGGTGTTGCGGCTCCGGGTGTTTTTTTCCTGTGGGAGACGGGTCCATATGGTTTTTTGAGCATCTAAGGTTGTCGACCCCGACTGTCTGCCAGTACCCGAGAAGTCTACCATGTGGCACTCCAGATGTTCAAACTTTCATTAGATGTGCTAAAAAACCACAAGCAACAAAGTTCTCCGATCACCTCGCTCAGATAATGTAGCCCTCTGACAAATTATTTTAGTAATTATGTAGAATGTTAGATAGTTCTGTGTTCTTGATTTTACTTGTACCAGATTATTTGCAAATTATCTGATATTATCTAAATTTAAATTTATGATGGTTAATATGTTAATTTGTTTAAGCATATGTGGACCTTAGGAGGTACGACAGAAGATATTTTTACATGTTCATGTTATTGTAATTTGAGATTGTCATTTGTTATTTTGTTCTTGTGTTCTGTACGTTCAATAGTTCAATAAAGTAAAATAAAAATAAAAGTCTACCCTGTGGCTTTATGGTCACGCCCTCCGAGTCACAATCCGGGTCCTTCCCCCCGCGTTACACGTAAGGTTTATTATAATGAACAGAATAAAACTGTAATAAAAACATGTTATGGGGTTTATTATAATGAACAGAATAAAACTGTGATAAAACAGATTAAAGTGTTTTATTAATAAGGACTTATTAAAACTGTAAGAAAAACATGTTATGGGGTTTATTATAATGAACAGAAT